AATCTGGTGGTATCCCAGGTAGGCGTCTAAGAAGCTCATTTGCTCGTTCTCGACAGTTAATTGATCTATCTTAGGTAGGAAAAACTGTCTTTTGGATAGGCTTTATTGAGATCAATGAAGTCAACACAGACCCTCAATTTTCCATTTTTCTTCTTCACCACCATGGTGTTTGACAACCAGGTCGGATATTGTACTTCTCTGATGGTTTTGGACTCCAGCAATCGTGCAACTTCCTCTTTCATTGCTTCCTGATGTTGAGGTGTCGACCTCTTGAGCTTTTGCTTGACTGGCTTGAAGTTAGGGTCAACGTTCAGTTGGTGACCCGCCACTTTAGACGGTACGCCAGACATATCACTCGTGCTCCAAGCAAAAACATCGACATATTCTCGTAGTAGGGTGACGATTTCGTTTTGCTATTCAGGGCTAAGAGTCATTCCCAAAAAAAAATACTTATCCTGGTCACCATCCTCGTCTAAAGGTACTGTAGACAAGTCTTCGATTGTTCGTTGGTAACTTCTTTTTCTGGGCCTAAAGGTACTTTAGGGCTTTTCATGGTAGTTCGACAAGTATAATCAGCCGAGATGTCAAGCATTGATTACCATTTCATCTCATCGGCTACCGAGCTCCTTTCTCGAGCCTCTACTCTGCCTTTCTCTTTAATTGAGGCAAGTAAGCAAGTCTTAAAACTTATTTGGTCTCCTTTAATATTGACTGTCCCTTCAAATGAAGGGAATTTCAGCATCTGCTGGTACGTTGAGGGTAGGGTACCACCTTCATCTCATGTAGCCAAGATCGCCCCATAATTGCGTTATAAGTCGAGATCGTGTGAACTACCAAAAATTCGGTCATGACGCAAACTGGTCCAGTCTTTACAGACAGTGTGATCTTTCCCCTAGGCAAAATCATTTTTCTGCTAAAGCCTATTAGTGGAGCATTAGAAGGTTTAAGATCCTCTTGCTTGAGACCGAGCTTCTCGAAAAGGTCCATGTACATAATTTTGGATGAACTTTCTGGATCAATTAGAACCATCCTTACATCGTAATTTGCAATCTGAAGCGTAACAACTAAGACGTCATTGTGTTGCTGGTGAATCCCAACCAAGTCCTGCTCGATGAAGCAAATGGCTTTGGTTAACTCTTCCATTTTAATCCTTTTATTCTTGACTTCTGGAGTCAATCACAGCTGATAGACCTCTCTTTCTTTTGCAGATTTCTGAATGTATGCCCTAGCAGCGTCATTGTGTCTGCCCGATTTGCGGGTTTGTTGCAACATGGATAACATCTATTACCCATGCTGCTGTGGTCTAATTTCCTTTTGGATCAGTACTTCCTCCATCGATTCTTGCCTCGTCTTCGATGAACTCGGTGAGGTGCCCAGCCTGGATCAGTTCTTCTAAATGTTGCTTCAAAGATCGACAATTTTTGATCATGTGACCTACGTCCTGATGATAAGAGCACTTGAAGTTAGGATTTCTTTTCAAAGGATCCACTGTTAGCTTATTGGGCCACTTAAAAAATGGCTTCCCCTTTATTTGAGTCCATATCTTATATATTGGCTCCTTGAACAGTTTGTTTAACCCAATGAGGGGAGATTTCTGGGGAAATCCTTCTTTCTCATTCTTCCTTCCACCTTCCCTATTCAGTTCAGTTTGCTTATCATGACCGAACTGCCTTCTGCTCTGATGTTCCTCACCCACATCTCTGGATAAGTCATCGTCAATCTTAGCGTACTTCTCAATTCTTGCCACCAGTTCTTCCAAGCCCGTGGCAGGCCTCCTAGTAAGAGATTGGTACAAGGGTTCTTCTTTGGCAACCCGATCTTGAAGAATGCTATTGCGATTTCAGGATTGCAAGCTCTACCTCATTCATCATCTCCCAATAACGATGAGCGTACTCTCGCAAAGTTTCATCGTTTTGCTTCTTTAATGTTAGCAGAACCCCGACATCATTGGGGTGTTTGCTACTCGTAATAAATCGAGCTGTAAATTGCTCGGCTAACTGCGACCATTAGTCTATCGACCCCTTCGGCAAGCTATCAAACCACTTCATGGCCGACTCCCTGAGGCTGCTTGGGAAGATGGTGCACAATAAGAGTTCGTTCTCGCCGATGAATGATCATCAGCTATTTGGAGTGTCTGATGTGAGAGGCTGGGTCTGTCTTTCCATCGTAAAGCTTGAAATTCAGGACGATGAATATACTTGGGATATGCCCCCTTTCAATCCAAAAAGTAAAAAGAGATGACTTCAAACCATCATCGTATTCTTCGGTCGCCCCTCTTGATAGGTCCCGAGCCAACCTTTACTCTAGCCTCTTCAAACGGTTGTTCAAATTCTTCGGTGATGTACTGCTTCCAAGAGTCCTCTTCCAGAACCCGAGGTCTTTTTTGCTGGTACTTATCATCCTTGGCATTCTTGGTTCTGTCATATTTCTTTTTAGGACTTTCTCGTTGGCTTTCCCTTTCTCATTTCTCTATTCTGGTCATCTTCTTTAGTTTGGCTTTCAATTCTTCGTTTTCTTTGATCAGGTCTTTTTCCCTGGCATAAGATTTCTTGAATAATTTGTCATGAGCATCAAGCCGGTCCTACAGGGATTGGACCAACTTTGCCAGGGAGTGGTTTTCCCCCTCGGCACGGAGGGATTCACCACGATCTTCTCCTTGCTGGTTCTGGTTTCTGGTTCGTTTGAAGTTTGTTGAGGATACCTCATCGTCCTCGTGGGGCCCAGATGGACTTTTGTTAATACGTAAACTAACGTTGCTATTAGATGGGAGCGATGCTGGATCAGTGTTATTTATGGCTAAACTGCCTATAGGTGATCCGATGGCACTTCTAAGTCTTGACATTACGACTTTTTGTTTCGAGTGATGAGAATCTTCCCACAGATGGCGCCAAAAAAATGTGAGATAAAAAACGACAAACCTCTCACACAAATGTAGAATTGATATTTCCAGTAAAGATGTGTTTCTGAACTAAATCTCCTAGCCTTCCCCCTCCAACAAAACGAGCAAACTGGCAAAGATCGAAGTGCTTCGATCGAAGACATTCCGATACTTAAGTCAGTAAGAGATTTGAATCAATTGTGAGAAGACAAGGAGAGTTTAGCGTACCTTTCACCTTGGCTCCTTTTGTTTTTTATAGACCCTATTCAGTTAGGGTTTCCATAAATTTCGATTCAATGTGGCACACTTTCCTCCAATTAAGCGATTCAGTTTAGAAAGCTGCTGAAATCTTTTTAGCAGTTTTCTTGGCATATAATCAAGCTTATTAGCTTATCTCGGATGCCTAAGTTTTTGGCGAATCTTTATCTTTCCATCTACTGTTTCAAAACAGCTCGGTCATGACGAGGACCGAGCTCTTTCGTTACTCTCCAAACACCTTGAACGACTTGATCATGACGAGGACCGAGCTTTTTCATTGCTTGCAGAACAAATTGATCAGTTCAACTAGCCCTGTTTGACTGATATCGTCCTCACGTGTCTTGTCTTGTCATCCTCACATGGGTTCATTTAATATCGTAACACGTGTAATAATGAGAGCCTCCCCATTAAGAAATTAATTGTAGTGAGGTCAAATTCTAATAAAAATAATCTAAATATTTTTAACCGAGGGACCTAATTTAGAGGTCTAATGTATTACTGTTGTTGGATTAACAAATAAACTACATTCAATGTTGATATCCACTTTTAATTCTATGAGAATAATACATTCGTTTTATAAGTTAGATATTTAAATTAAGCGTTAATAGTATTGCTCTTTTACAATAATAAGATTAAAAAATAAAATAATCATAACTAAAAAGAGGTTGTCTAGTGCAGCGGCTTCCACAACTACATGGTCTGAGGAAGATCAGATCTACACCACTTCACCCAAAATTTAAGAGAATGTTTGTGCAACTTGAATCTTTAATATGTAGGTCACAACGAAATCATTTTACCTTTAACAATTGCTCCCAAGTAGTTTTCATTATGAAAAAAATATTACATGATAATCTCATCATTCAACATATTCAAATTGACAATTGTGAGAGAGATGAGAACAAAGAGCTTCGAATGATTTTTGAATACATTTTGAAAGATTAGATTAGTTAAATGTTATTGTTACCTACTTGAGAGTAAACAAATTCAATTCCAATGTAAGAGATGATTAAGTAAATTAAAGTGTATAATTATTTTTTGTGAGAGACATTTAAAATACAACAATATGAGTAACTCTGCTCATTTTTTAATCTCAAATTTGGAATTTCAAATATGTGTGAACTATTGAATGAGTGAGTCCATTAACTTTTTAATGGAATAAGTAAGAATGTGTTTGACATGATTTAAAAAATTATTTTTAGAATTTTAACTTGTAAAATTTTTTTTTTAAAAAGAAGTAGTATTTGACTTAACTTGTTAAAAACACTTTTTGGTAAGTAAAAATAATTTCAGCACCTAAATAAGTTAATAAAAAAAAGTAAAAATAATTAAATTTTATTTTTAAAGAATCACTTCTTATTTTCTTCTCAGTCCCATACCTCTATGCCAAAACCTTTCATGTAGCTACTCTAATCTCGAAGTCGACGCCGACGCCGACCAACAACACTACCTTTTCTCTCCAACTACCAACGACGCGAGAGTCGCCTTCTCTCTCACCGATCTTAGTTGTATGCTGGTCTAACCAAATCTTTCAAACGAGATACAATATCTTCTTAACTAATTTTATATTATCTGTTACGACGATTTGTTGTGGGTTGATGTATTTTGGTTTGTGATTTTTTTTTTTTGATGATAAATTTCTGGAGATCTTAGAAAGATTTTGGGAAATTTGTTTTTTTATTTTTTTGATCCACGATTACTATGAAAATCACTATATTATTTTACTTCCATAATTCATTGCTCATTCTCACATGATAATTTTTAGCACTGGACAATTTGATAGATTGCCCACCAACTGTTGATAAAATGGCTTACATGTGCTATGGATTTTTTCTTATGCTTGGGCTGTTAGTTTTCATGTGACAAAATGAGGAGTTGAAAAGCACTAGCTGTTAATTTTTACGTTATTGGTTGCATGCCCACCAACTGTTTGATAGAAATCCTAACTTCTATCAATTACGTGATGTAGTGTTTGTTGTCTTTTAATGTTTTTTTATTCAAGGTAAGGGGGTTCCTTTAGATGATAGATTGTAGAGTGTGGGAGTGAGCTTGGCAAGTAGACGTTCTCTGTGTTGTAAGGCAGCGGAGAATAGTCTGCATTTGTTTGTAAAGTATGAATTTTCGGCTTTGGTTTGGAATAAACTGGCAGGCCTTTGTGGGTTGGATTGGAATTCGATACAGGCAAATCCCTTTGAGTTCATTGATTGTTCAGTTCATACTTATATATGCTTCAGATGTTAAGGATAGTAATGGATTGGATTGGAATTCGATAGAGAGGACTTTTATGGATGAGGTTAATGATAAAGGGTTGTTGGGTGATCAGACTTTGAGATTCAAGAAATATGAGGTCAAATTAGCAGATTGTGCAATTTGTTCTTTTGCTATTTCACGGGCCATTATTTCTTACACTTCTAGGTACTTGTTTGATAACTATACTTTGATTGTTGGTGAGTCTTTGGATTTGAAGCGTGTGCATCGAATGATATCTGAATCAGCTGAGGAATTTAGGAAGTTGGTGAGGGCTCCAGAGGAGGATTTTGGGAGGGTTCTTCCCAGTGTTTTGAAAAGTGCGCTTAGGCAAGAAGTGAGGCCAAACGAAGGCCTCTCACCTTGAGGACACCAGGCGAAGCGAAAAAAAAGCGAGAAAAGCGAGCGCTTTTCGCTTAAGTGAAAGGCAAAAAAGCGAACGCCTTAGTCATGCGAGGCGAAATAATTTTTTATTTTTATTGTGCACCGTTGGATTGTTTTATTTTTATTGTGGATCGTCGGATTGGGGCAATTGGAAAATAAATTATAAGATGCCAATACACCTAATTACCCCTTTATCCTATAAATATAAAACCCAACCCTAATTTTCAGATCAACCATCGATGTTGCTCTGCTTCCCTGACGATCGCTGCTGCTACTGTTGCTCCTTCCCAGTCATCGTTATTGTTGCTCCTCCTTACTAGGCGACCGATAGTGTAGGTCTTCTCAGTCGATTGCTGCTGCTGCTGCTGCTCCTTCCCAGATGATCGATAGTGCTGATTTTCCCAGTCGATTATTGCTGCTCCTGCTCCAGGTTTGTCTACTTTTTTTTCTTTTCTCTTTTGTGTCTCTTCTTCCTTTCTGCTTCTTCTTCTTTCTGATTCTGATTCTTTTTTTTTTTTTGGCTTATGTTTTTCTTCTTCTTCTTTTTTTTGTCTACTGCTTCTTCTTTTTGTTTTTTTTATGCTGCTTCTTCGTTCTTTCTGTTGCTTCTTCTTTCTGTGCCGTTGTTTCTTTTTTCTGCCGTGCTGCTGCTTCTGTTTTTTTTCTTCTTTCTGGTGCTGGTGCTACTTTTTTTTTTGCTTCTATTTTTTTTCTTCTTTCTGGTGCTACTGCTCCTTCCCAGACATTTTGATGGGTTTTCTTTTTTTAATTCTGTTTTTTTTTGCTTTCTATTTTTTTTCCTTCTTCTTTGATAATGAATGTTGTTGTTTCTTTAATGTTTATATATAGCTGATTTTAATATGTTGCTTCTTCTGAATTCTGTAATGCATAGTGCTGAGTTTTGTTGAATGCTGAATGCTGATATTTGTTGAATGTTGTAATGCATAGTGCTGATTTTTGCTTCTCAATGTTTGTTTTAATTTAAATGTTTATGGTTTTACTTGCTTTTAAATATTTAGTATATATAAAATTGAACTTAGATGTGTATAAGTAATTAAACTAAAATATTTTTTTTTTTTTAATTGTTCGCTTCTCGCTTCTTGCCTAGGCGTTAAGAGCTTTGGTCGCTTCGGTTCGCTTTACGCCTTAAATAACACTGGTTCTTCATGTTTATGTTTTTGATTTGGATGTCAATACCATATTGCTGCTTGATCGATATCACCAATCTGTTGCGTTTAAAGATATGATTATTGCTGTCAGGACGAAGAACACGCAAACGGTGAGCGCTTATGGTTGTAATGGGTGTCACGTATTTACACAGACTCGGGAGCTTGAAAGATCACTTGTGGGTTCGATTTTGCAGAGTATGTGGGTTGTTTCGCCAACACATTTGGTGTGGAGTCCTATGCATAATAGTACATATGTATACTAAGATTATGACCACAACACAAACTAATGTCGAATTAAAAATTAGAGCAATTCTTGTATTTCTGTAAGAGAGGCATGTTGCAAGGTCACAAACTAATGTTGGTGCAATAATGTTTCTACTTTTCTATGATACCCCTGATGTTTGAGGCATGTCAAAACATGACCCTACGAGACCAACTCCCCCTCCCCTCTCGTTTCCTCAAATGAAAAAGGCAGCACACAGCCAGTGAATTTTCAATCGCAAAACATGTTGGTTCAAGGGTGGGTTATCTTGATGGTATGCAACCTATCGATATGGTATTTTCTGGCAGCAGCTTTTTATATGTTTATGCATTCTGGACTAGTGCTGAAGAAGTGTGACACTGGTTTCAAACTTGTCAATTGCATTATGTTATGTTCTCAGTCCTCCCCACTATCAGCACCCTGCATTATCTTGATGTTGTCATCTACTCTAATCCATGTATTTTAACAAAAGTGGGCATTGAAATTCATGGTAATTTTTTTTTCAATTATTTGCATGGCACTCAATTCAGCCAATCAGGACATCGAGCCAATTTGATTGAAATAATATGATATCCTTGAAAATTGAGGGAATGTTGTGTTATTATTGTGGTTCTAAGGGGTGAACCATCCCTGATTGCAATCATGGGGATAAGGCAGCTGAGGTATTGATGGCTTCATGTTTTAATTGTTAGAAAGTACTCAACCAAATATTATACTGAATTCGAGTAAGTGTACGTGTATGTGTGCGTGTGTCATTGTTAGCTTTGATGTCAACTCTTCATTGTGCCAATCATGCCCATGTTGAAGAAGAAAATGCGTATAGAATTTATACAAGGCTTTGTTTAGGTTACTTATTATTATACGTGTTGTGCTAATAACCTATATATTTTGTGATGTTACTTTAGATGACTTTTAATAGTTCTAGGAATGACAAGATAAAGTAAATTAGACTGTGGAGAGACATAAGACTTTTTTGGAGTCATGTTATGGCAGCATATTCTTTTAACATGGTCTTCACATTTGTCAATACTGGGTGGAAAGGAACAGCTCATGACTCCAAAGTGTTACTACATTGGATTCTTAATAGGCATCAGAGATATATTATTTGCAAGGTATGTTAATGAAGACGTGGAGTTAGAAGAGGAAGACAATGTAAATCAGACTGCTTTTGAAGAGGATATTGATTTTTCAGATACAAATTCAATGTATAAGAAGATAGAATGTATTGCTTCAACAATTTTAAGGGACAATCAAGCATGATTTTTTATTGTATTTATTATTAATATGTGTTTTGCGACTTGAGTATGTCATTAGGACAGTTGGACTATGTAATTTTTCATATGATATTTTTGTCTATAATATATTTTGTGTGTATCATTATATGTGTAGTGTATGTTTGTATATGAGCATTCAATACGATTAACAATTGTAACACAAATAAGTACTTTCATATCCAAATGTATTTTTTATAAAATACATTAATTTAAGTATTTTAAAATTTAAATATTCAAATAATATTTATTTAATAAAAATATTTTTCTTGTAAACATTTTTGACAAATACTTATTAAAAAAATACTTTTGAATTTCATAAGTCATTCTAAATACACTCAAAGTCCCGTTTAACTTTGTTTAATGGAATTTCTGATCTAATAAACCCTAATGTCCTAAAGCAAGCCATAAATAACTCAGTAGGGAGACTTTTTGAGGTAAAAATTAGTAATTCTTGACTTTGGTCAACCCCGACGACGAGAAAAAGTTAATAAGAAGAGACAAAAAAGGGGTGGTGTGGTCGGATATAATCAGATTCCTTCTCTTTTCGCCGGCTTCCGCCGCATCCGTACCACCTCGCCGCCCGCCTTTTCCTGGCATGGCCAGTTGACCACAGAGCACGCGAGACCTGTTTTTTCTCAATGAAACTGCCACAATCTGCCTTTTATTTAATTCGACAATGCCACAAAATTAAATCTTCCCTCCTTTTCTAATTTCTTCTATTGATCACACTATTCAATATTTCAATTCCTCTGTAATTCCACAGCACCCTGTAGTGAAGCTTACCAAAAAGCGAAGCTTTTACTTTGCTAGACCCCGACAATAAGGACGGACACATGCATTAGTTATATCTTTATAGACCTCCTCGAAACAGCCTGCTCTGCTGTCACCAAATGCCTTTCATGTACTCTCTAGAGCGGACAAATACGCCATAATCGCCGTCAACAGCTGACACCTTTGCCCCCAAATAAAACCACTTACTTTCAGAGTATTTGTTTTGTTTGGTTATTCATTACAATAAATACGTACCATTTTCAATCCTTTTTAAGCAAAAAAACTACGTAGATATAGATCCTCCTCGCACGCGTCGCGACAACTACCGACAAACTGCCCATATTCACGAAAACAACCTCACCCCAACACAGTCGGTCTGGTCAATCACTATATAAATCCTACCAACCCCATTTCATCATTTCACATCCACCCACTTTCCTCGAACGTCATCGCTCTCGCAGTTTCTGTAAACTTTTTGTTATTTGAATTGGTTCAGACGACAATGCATTATGAAGCAGAGTCATGGGGTTACTACGTACCAGTGAAGCACAGCATGGAATCAGACTCGTTGGAGCGAGTGGTGAGGCTCGCCGCTGGGAGTGCGGTGGTGATATTCAGCATTAGCTCTTGCTGTATGTGTCATGCGGTGAAGAGGCTCTTCTGTGGAATGGGTGTCAACCCAACTGTGTACGAGCTTGACCAGGACCCAAGAGGGAAGGAAATTGAGAGGGCTCTCATGAGGCTCCTTGGGAACTCAACGGCTGTTCCGGTGGTGTTCATCGGAGGGAAGCTTGTCGGTGCAATGGACAGAGTCTTGGCTTCTCATATTAGTGGGACATTGGTACCCCTCCTCAAGGAAGCTGGAGCTCTGTGGCTCTGAGTCTGAAATAATCTCATTACATCATAGGATATGCGTTTGTCCTTGATCAATTCCTCCATTTTGGGACGCACTTATATGTGCTGTTTCTCTCTCCTTATTGCCATCATTATCCTCTTTGTAAGTTGAGATATCAAATTGTAAGGGCAGCTAATGAATGAAGATAATGTAAAATTGATCCATCCTTTGTAAAGCTCTATTAAAGGACTTGCTGAAAAAAAGATGTATCGAAAGAATTTCCTAGGTAGAATTTGAGATGGGGTTCTGGTAGTATGGCATCTAAAATTCGACCATGCATTCATGCCCCTTCTAATCATCACCTTCTCTAAAATATTCCAAACCAATGCTAATTTAGAGTTAATTTGAAGATTTATTTAATTCAAGTTATTAGGACTCATTTTTCCTTGAACAATCCTTAAATTAGGTATAAATAATATTTTTTAAGTAAAAATGCTACGAAATGACACAATTATATCAGCATTGGATGTTTAATGGGTATCAATAGGACCCATTAATCTAATAACACAGTTTGATTTAGTGCAAGATATTTGCTAAAAAAAGCAAAAAAATTAATGGGTGTATTTCTAATGTATTATATTGCTAGCATATTTCGTGATTAAAGTTACTGTACATTGAATTATTATATTGTATATGCATTGAAATATGTGTATTTATGTGCAACTGTGTGTGTGTTGGATTTTTGAAATTTGAGGGAGAAAGTATAAAATATGTTGAAAAAATATACTCACCATGAGTTCAAATCTAGATCTATGAAAAACAGAAGAGTGTAATTGGAGTGCTGAGTGGAATGGGCCTGGCCGTTTCATCTGTACTAATTTGCCAGCCCGTTGTGTAGGCTGTTTTGATTAATGTAGGATTTGGATTGGTCAATTTCCAAATTGTCCAATCCAAATCTGGAAAAGCGACCAATAGATGGTGGGCAAAAGGATCAATACGCTAATGTGGAGCTCTACTGGGCTCTAATTTGGCCCTATAAAATCAAATTGACTTTTGAATGGCTTTAAATTTTTTTATGTATATATGAATTTTTACTATAGAGTGTAGAGACATGCACCGAGTATTCCTTAAATTTTGATATTCGTCATTGTAGTTCAAACCGGTTTTAGAACATATCCTTGAAGAACAAGAGTAAGAGTGGCTGACCCTTAGGAAATATGAGAAGTGTTAAATCTGAGGCTTTTTTAAGTTATCAGATACTAAACTCAGCCACTGAATTATCCCTAAGAATTAATTTCTATGTATATTAGGTTGTACCAATGTCTTTTTTTTTAATTGAAACCCAAATGTCTAACATGCATGCATCTACATATATGACGATGTGCATGCGTGCACATGAAGCCCAACATCAGAATATTAAAATACACATTCAAAACAATCCATAATCTATGACAGTCTATTACTATCTACACATTGTTTTAGGCCTTTTATATAATTAATTTATTTCTTTAATAATAAAATAAGACAAGTCCCATCTCTAAAGTCAAACCATGCTTTGCTACTTGTATAGGGCATGGTTTAAGTCAACTATGATGCTGGTATATGATTTGGGTAGGTGTGTACGCAGTAACCTTTGCTCAGTGCAGGCGTATTTAATGATTGAAGATTAAGATTTAAAGCCCTTCATGGACCATATGGGATCAGATAGAATTAATTCTGGCCACTAATAATTAAAATACACTAATCTTATTGGGATTGGCTTTTTGATTGTTGGATTGATATTGCAATGTGTTTAATGTAGTGGCCCACTACAATCTAACAACCTCAAACTATGTACAGCGAGATGATAATGAATTTAATTTGGAGGCTTAATCGTGGACCTAATTTAATACAATCATTAAATTAATAGTGAATTTTACTAATAGATGAAGCCCACCTATGGTTTTAAGACCTAACTGCATCACAAGTTTTGTTTTATTCAAGATCAGGCTTTGTGTGTGTGTGTGTGTTAATTGTTCATGATTGTGTTAAAAAAAAAAAAAAGATCAACCTTTGTGGCGATGATAATCACATCAAAAACACCAAAAACAATTATTACTATTACCATTTAAAAAAAAAATCAATTCAAATCTGTAATTATTCGTATTCTTTCTATATGAATGAGAAGGCGTGAATATTGGAGCTAGGTGGCACAGATGACTTTAAAGGGAAAACAAAAAAGAAAGATGGAGTGGACTATCAAGGATTCTTATTGTATGCAATAATAACATTAGTAGAATATGTCAAAACAATTTCAATATTCTAATTATTACGCTTCAATAATTGTGTTTTTGTAATAAGTATATTCATAAAATGTCAAAATTATATATACAAAGAGTGTTTATGTGCGGTCGGCTTAACCTAATCACCTGCTCTGCCCCACGTAAACATAAAAAGAAAGAAAAATAAAATAGAATAAACTAAAAAAACCATAGGAAAACTAATATATATACCAAGAAGACGCTTTCAGTGGACTTGACACAAATTTTTATCGATAAAACCTTGTAAGTGTTGCAACCCAAAAAATCAAAAACCTTGTAAGTGTTGTAGTTGATGATAATGAACAAAATAACTTTGCACATCACTTGTCAAGTGATTGAAAATAAATGCAATAATTAAACGTAAAGAGAGTCAAAGTGACCTACGTCAACTTTTCAATGACCTTGGTCGCCTGATACTTTATTAGCTCAAGGGTTTAGGGAGCAGATAGTACAATCTTTAAGTGGAAGAGGAGAGTTGTGCTTAGGTAAGAGTGTGATCTGCCCCCAAATGTTGGTAGGGCTTACAATTTATAGTCAACCCCTAACAGATTGGGGCTTACAAGTGTTGAGGTGTTCACCATCAGACTCGGTCAAAGGATGAGGTGAGGGTTGACTCTTTTCAAGGCGACGAGGGAGAGGCTCCTGGTGACCTTTACTCCAAGGTGGTAGAGGAGACTCTTGAATGACCCTTGCATGCCCCTTACTGATGTAGCGCCTTGACCATTGTGAACTTGTCCGGGTACAGACTCCTTTGGACTTGATTAGCTGGATTTCTTAGAGTTGAACCCTTACACTTGTAAAATACGTTGGGCTCTTGGGCTTGACTCATCAGTTGACATGGTCAGATGATGAGTTTTGATTGATTTTGCTTTGAAAGTGCATTTCAATTGGCCATCATGATCTATGTGCTGGTGTGTGTGTGCGCGCGCCTGAGAGAGACCATGACCTTATCAAAGTAGGCAGTTGGCCGTGCACGATGCACCACTGATAGGTACCATACAATGTGTCGATTGTAACTTAAATAGATACAATCTTGTGCTTTTTGCCCTTATTTTGAACAAAATACGGTTTTATTGTGCTAGATATTTAAAATGTTAACAAAGCTGCACATAGCTCCAACCAGAATACAAGTAATTAATGTACGTAAAAATCAAAGTTCATTATTTCGTTGCACCTTTATGGAAGCACAAGCCTTTTAACTTATCCATGGACATATTGCTTGGTTCCTTCCCAGACCACCGGCCATTCTTTCCTATATCAGTCAGCCCATTTGATGTGGGCTGACTGGTGAGTTTACAAAATACGTACATTTGTCTCTAGACTAGATAGTACATGTTCTTATATTTTCCTAATGAACCCTTGCGCCAGATAATAATATAGATCGGATCTATTCATTCACCCATGTTCCTTTTTTCAAACCTAGATTGGTTGGAGGTTTGGAGATTAGTATGTGCATTTGTTGTTGAGTTTTTATACCTGTATAAAAAGGAAAAAAAATAGTTGTATGAAAAATAATTAGGGTTAATAGTATTTTTTGTCCCTAAAATATGTATTTTTCATTAGTTTAGTCTTCATTTTTTAAATTTGATCAATTTAGTCCCTAAAATATTCGGTTCATGTAATTTTAGTCCCTACATAGACAGACCGTTACGTTTTTTACAAAATGAACACCGATTGAGTATATGATATCGTCTAAAAAAATGACACATGGTCATTTCTTCCAAATACTTGACGAATTGTCTGATTATGAACTAAAGTGTCATAAATTGAATACTTTAACAACAAAATTTGACAAAATTAATATAATGAGAGCGAAACTGACAAAAATATATACTTTAGGGACTAAAAATGCTATTAACCCAAATAGTTATTATTAGAATAATCTAGGTTCCATTTAATTCTCCTCACGCACTAAAATCTATTTGTCCACTTCCTCAGGAGGTTCTCAATTCACAGAAACTAGCCTTTTCATGTCATTGTAAGGCAAAAATAAGATAAACACTAATACTCTAGAGAGGCCATTCCAGCGTTGACAACTATGTTACTTTAAGAATAATTTACATCCTTGTTGGCCTTTATATCTGAGAGCTACTTCCAACTCCGGAGAGGTTAACCTATCTCAGAAGCAATTGAGAGCACATCCCGTGAGGTTTTCTTTTGTTTCTTTTCCCCTTATATCACCTTCTTCCGGCTTTCTTGCGATACTATAGATATATTCTCTCATTTTTGCTTTATCTAGTACCTAAATCTTGAATATTCATACTCAATTTTCGTTAATATCTTTGTGTTTTTCCTTTTTGGGTTTCTTTGTTATGCATATTTTCAGTTCTGATTGCAGATTTAGAAAAATATGAGTAACACAACGAGGCCAATAATGAAGGTTATGTTTTATTTGGCCTACGACAGAGGTTAACTTAGTTTATTTGGCCTATGAAGCTTTGTATTGTTTGTGGTTTTAAGATAAACCATCCACGCACACGTACATCTTGTTCGTTGTCTAGTGTCTAGTCCTTTGTAAGTTAGAGCTTCAGTAATTAAGTTAATATTATCTGTTCCCATTGAATTTTCTTCAAAAACAAAATGGATTTGGTCATGGGAAAAGGAAAGAAAAAAGGGCTGATCAACAAGACATGGGAGCGCTGCAAATCCATTGGGGGTGGCAGCAAGAGCTCCGGAATTCGACCTGTTCTGACCAAGAAAAGTAAGTCATGGCCTCGTATTGACATCAGAGAAGATGAAGAGAAGCCCGTAAAAAAGCATCGAGTTGCTCCAGAAGGTTGCTTCTCGGTGTATGTGGGAACACAGAAACAAAGGTTTGTGATCAAGACAGAGTACGCCAATCACCCTCTCTTCAAGATGCTACTCGAAGAAGCCGAGTCAGAGTACGGTTACAACAGTGAAGGCCCTCTTGCACTTCCCTGCGACGTTGATCTTTTCTATAGGGTGTTGGTGGAAATGGACTCCTGTGATCAGAATAATCAAGGTGGGTGCACCTTTGCTAGGTCTTCTAGGTCCTATCGTCTTCTCACTCCGTCTAGATTGGTTGCCATGAATAGTTAAGTTGCAAATTTTATCAGTGCAGTGCTCGTGGGTGAATGTGTATTTTCTGTTGGTGAAGTTTTGTTTTGTCTTTTTTCAGATGGTCCGTTCGTGTAAGGTAGAAAGAGCTTTTAGTAAGTAAGGATATGTATCCAAGGTATAAGTTGAGTTTGTATCAGAAGTGAAGCCGTCAATAAAATAGCTTGTATGATAATGAAAGTTATCGAGCTTATTTTTAGTTTCAATAATGTTATTTATACTCAATTTAAATATTAAATATTGTCATTTCGGACAATGATGTATTTAAGTTTATGTCTCATTTTGAGCCCAAGGCCTCCAACACCCAACGAACTTGGAAATAAGCGTCTACTCAGGAGTTTGAGCTCGGCACTAAGCGGAATTGATATGACCCCAATCATGCGTCATGTGGACAGGGGGACAATGTTTGACAATTTTAACAAACTAATATTCACCGATAGTGAGGATATCTCATACATTCTGTTCCAGGGATAGTGGGCAAAGAAAAAGTCAGGTTGACAAGTTCAATTACAAGACAAATGAGGAAGAGACCACTAAATCAAGCAGAAAAAAGAGTATTATGAGAACCCTAAGAACAAGATGTATAAATAGAAGATGATAGTATTGTGCAAAAAGAGAGACATATAGCACAAAGAGAGATAAAATAGAGAGAGAGAGCATCGGTTAGAGGATATTTGGCATAAAGGCTCCCAAAAAATCCTTCTATTACTATTGTCTTCTTCTCAAAGTAATATAACCCTAAATGGAGCAAGAGTGCAAGAATCTCATTCACAGTGGACGTAGTCTTAATCTTTCGGCTGAGATATGAACCACTCATACTACTTTCTTCATTATTTTTCACACACCAATCACACTCTCATCCACAAGCACACAATGAGCTCCCACTGGGCCTCATCCCATTCCATTATGTAATTGAGTAGGAAAATTTCGAACATCATCAATTTCAATATTGTAATTCAATGTTAATCTAATAATCATAATAAATTAGGCCTTGTATTAGATCTCTAAACTAAATCTCAATAGTATTACTTTTTGACACATCGTTGTTTCCAGATAAATTATCTTTGTCGTTAAAAAGCAATTTTCAAATTAATTAATTAGATCTATTACAGTCAAGGGGGGCCAAAGATGAAGCGGAAGCACGGTCAAAAAATGAGTTGGAAGCAGTCTATGACTGTGATATTGAGCACAAACGATATGGGGAGTATCTTATCTACATTAAAATCTATAAACAACCCCAATGAGATTAATTCAATGGGATGGGTTGCACGCTAAAAGAAAGAGTTGACATAGTCAAACTTTGTCTATTCGTTGGACCATCATCAAAATTTTTCGTCGTAGATAGGCCTCGTTTAGTTACCATTACCGCATAATAAGAAAAATAATTGAATTAATTAATACGGATTATTTTTGTATAAGTAAGTAAAACACAAGATTAAATATGAGATAAAAATAATACTCATTGTAATCCAATATTTGATAAGACACTGAATAACAGTGGAATAATAGAATACTAATTACATACTGACCAAAAAACCATCAAGCTAATTTAGTTACGCATGCTTTTGTATACTTGACGGGTAAACTGGTAAAATATAACTTAATATGGTTTTACTGTATTATAGTATCACCTTTTCGGATGATATTAATATTGGCTCAATAATACGTGTATAATGTATTATTCATATATGTATTTTATACGCGTACAAAATAAGACTAAATATAATACATAACATTTTTAGTAACCAAATGTAGTAAAAGATTAGATTAAAGAGATTTAATTTGTTATAACTCCTTAATACACCCTTTAATATTGCAACGAAAATGACCTCAATATATAATAAACCTGCATAGGTCCTAATTAGTAAAACAGAAAAATCCAACAATTAGATAATTTAGGGTATCCATATCTAGAACTTATCAGCTTATGATTAAGATTACAAGGGCTTCAATAAAAAATTAATTCCCCGAGTCCATTTTTAACTATATGCTTATAATTTTACGAGGTGGTGAAATTAGTCAATGAAGCCAAAAAATTCCTGTGAGAAAAATAAAAGCCAAAAGACAGTTTTCTTCCTTTTTTTATTCATTAAATTTTGTTGGCCTTATTTAAGGGTGCCAATTTTATCCGTTAACACGAATCCAATATGACCCCGACCCGACACAAAATTCGAAAATAGCACAATTAGCTGACACGAGTAATAATTGAGTCAAATTAAGATTCGACACGATTAATGGGTACTCTAGATAAAAAATAATTATTTAAAGTGTATTGTAGACAGAAAATAAGAATTTTATAATTTTTTAAATAGTATTATATGAGTTGTTGTTGAATTAAATAATTTTTTTATTAACACGAATTTGACATGTACCGAAAGTAATACGACACGACATGAAACTATTGACACCCCCTGATTACTATAATACCATATTTGAAGTCACAAAGCCAATTAAACAACTCAATAATTGAGATTAGGAAGCTTCGCATGCTAACGTTATAAGACCGTGGCAGCTGCTTTAGATTTTCAGTTTATAATTTTGGTTACGTCTGATGTGGACCCCATCGAATAAGGTAGCTAGGGAGCCATCCTTTTAATGTTAAATATTATTCTATATAAACTAGACTTGTATACCAACAACAGCTACATTTCACCCACTACATAATTGTGGGCCTTGCTTTTGAGCTTTATACATATTCATATTTAATTTCAGCTGACTTTTAATCTTTCATCATTGATTTAGCTGCTGGTTGTTGAAGGCAAACTACTTGAACAATGGTTTCCTTCTTGTACATCTTTTGGGTTTGGTTGGAGTGGGCGTTGGTGGGTGGGAATAATGTGTGCAAATGGAGCAAGTGGGGCAGGACGGAGATAAATTCAGGCTTAGTTCAAGTTTTTAATCCTTTAATTTGAATTCAACTTGAATCTAATTTAGCTCAAATATTGTTCCCGCTTGTATTTTTAACTCATTAAGATTAAGATTAATTTGGGTTAAAATTAAGATTAAGATTGAATTCAATTTGTGTTGATCATTAGTTTACATAACCTTAAATTTTAGTGTTGAGTTCAATTTGGATTGAATTTAAATTTAATGCTAGAGGTGCACAACTTAGGCTAGAAATTGGGATCAACTTACATTGGATTCAAGTTGAATATCAAAAACTCTCGATCCAAGCTCTTTTCGAATTTAAATTAGTGCGAGGAGGAGAAATGGTCTAATCTCAGGCAAACCACAACCAAAATCATAAGAAAAATACTTGTTAGACAAGACCGATAAAACTATTGGCTAACGCTCGAATTTGAATTTGTTTATCTGCACAGCTAAACCTTACTTTAATACAAAAATATTACAAATTGGACTCAAGTTAACCCGCTAGGACAAAATCCCTCAGAGAGAGGGGAGTGGATTACGGGAAAATGAAAGGTGTCAACATGAAACTTATCTACATTACTATCTACAGTGTTCAACTGAATTGCAGCTGAAGAGACATTTGAAAAGAGTTTTTTTTTTTCTGGTGCTGTTTTCATTACATTAATTACTTAACAATCGTTGGATTGGACCACCTCCACAAGTTTTTCACCATCTCAGCACCATGCATGCTGTCAACTGAAGTTGATGGCCATTTTGATTTGGTCTGTTTTGTCTGCTTTTCTCTCTCAATTTTCTGTTCCTCTTACAAAAATCATCCTTATCACCTGTTTTTTTTTTTTTTTTATCAATTTTTGTTTTGTTTCCCAAGTAATCGGGTTTAGTGGTTAGAACTAGAACACTAACGAGTATTCATTGGTGTTAAATTAGTATGTCACATATTTGATTCTAAGAATCGTCTTTTTTGAAATTAGAATAAGGGTATTTTTGTATTTATCACTTATCTTTTTTGACTAGGTATATATAAAAACTTTATATATTCAATACGACAATTCGAGAAATATTGATTTGACATATGCAGCATATAACATAAAAACTAATAAACGGATCATGGTGCATATTTTCAATGCAATTTGTTTTGGCTGAACTACAAGGTGCTTTTGTGTGTGGAATTATTTGTCAGATTCAATGAATGATATACAATTGATGGAAAGCAAAAAAAAAGTTGAGAAATTAAATTTCTTAAAATATTTTATTATGGGGGACAGCAGCCTTCATAATGCTGCCAATTTTCTACAAAAGCATTCACTAATTTTAACATTCTTAATCAAAGACTTAGTAGTGTCAACTCGAGGAAGACAGGACAAATAACACCAATTATCCTAAGGATTAGTGGAAACATAAATCCCTACAGATTTGCAAACTTTTAGACTGAATTGCCCCACTCAAACTCTTATTGGTACTTACCCCAGGGGTGTCCATGGCCGGGTTACTCACGGGTCTTGTTATTCGACTCGAAAAAAATTGGTTCGAAACTCAATAAACTTGATAGTTGGTTTACTTGAACCTAATATCCTTAAAAAGAGGGTTTGGATTTACCCCAAAACCTATTACACGGCACGAAGCTCGGCCTAATAGTCTGTCCGAAAAAATTCATTAAAACCCAGCCCAAGAGCCCGCTAGCCAAGCTCAGCCCGCCCACCTTTCCTTTAAAAAAAATATATTTTTAGACTATTAAATTTGAAACTTTGAACTAAGTCTTTCAATGTCAGAATTTGAAATTTTAAAAATTTAGATACTATAAATAATGTATTATTTTCTTTTTCATGTATTAAACATACAAGTTTTAAATGGTAGAATAATGCAAATAATAAATAAGTGAATAGGTATCAACTTAGTTGAGATATATTCATTCTATTGGATGTAGTTCATCCTCTAATCAAAAATAAAATTATTCATTATTTTATTTTTATCTATTTTGACTTTATTTTTGATTCAAAAATATAATTTACACAAATATTAAGTTATAAAAATATTCATTATTTTTAAATAAAATTATATATAAAAAAGTCTGCGAACAAAGCTTGCCTAGCAAACTTGCTCAGAAAGCCCGT